GGGTGCCCTCCACCAGCATCTCCCGGCGCATCCGTGACCTGCAGGGAGCAACGGAGGTGCTGGGTGATGACCTGAGCCCCCAGCGCCCCCCTTTCCCAGCCCCAGGAGATCCCTTCCGATGCCAACGCCAGCTCGAGCTCTTGGAAAGGCTTCGGAACCCACGGCAGGGTCTGGAAAACACCTCGGGTCAGCCAACGGGGAAAGGCTTTTTCAGCACTTTGAGCTGTTTCCAATTTGCAGCCTTCCAACTGACCCAGTTCTATAAATATTTTGTACTACTTCTAAATTGCTTTTTTTTTTAACATATTTTTTTTGTCCTTTCAAACACTTATTTTGGTGGCTGCAGTACAGACTGAGAACAGGAGCAGCTTTCCTGCAACGTCAAAAACAACCCCCTGCACAGGAAAAGGCTGCAGAAATTGTTTGAGTTAGAAACCTCAGTCCCATTTTCACCAAAAAAGCAGATTTTCTGAGACCTCCCCCTCACTCCCCTGAGTCTTTCCAATGAGCGGTTACTTCACGAAAGAAACCAGGGCCGGCTCCAATAAATATTTACCAGCTACTTTGGGCTGCCCCGGGAGAGCTTGAGGCTAAGCAGACTTGACACATGCAGTTATGGACCTTTTTAGGCTGTTTTATATACCTGGAAAGGCCCCAAAGCCTCTCACTGCGCCCATGGGCAGCAGTAAAGTGGCACCAGGTTGCATTGCAGGAATGTCACTGGGATGGGGAGGAAGATGCAGGAGGCAGTGGCCCTCTCGAGCATCTCCTATGGGTATCCGATGGCAAAGCCACATACCAGTTTTTGGGTCATCTCCTGTGCCCGCTGAGCCTCTGAAGCGGCTCTGGGATGTGTGACTGGGCAAGGGGGGCTACAGGGGGGCTGCAAAGGTGCTAGAGCCCCATAACGCAACAGCCGTGCGCAACCCGTACCGGTAGTTGTGGAACCAGTTGATGACCGTGTTGGTCTTGAGGTTGAGCTGGAAGGAGAGCAGCTCGATGGTCTGCTGCGACGGGTAGGGCTCCAGCTGGTAGGCCTTCTTCAAGGCCTCCTTCTCCTCCGGCGCCAGCACCACGCGGGGCTTCTTGATCTGCAGCAGGCTGAGGTCCTGCGGCGGGAGGCCGGGGCTGGCGCAGCCG